TTTTAAGTGATCGTCCCCCTCCCAGAAGGAAGAGGCCCCGATGCCCAGCGCCTGTCCCAGCCGGCCGAGTCCCCCCACGGTTCCGCACTTGCCCCGCCCCGACACCCCGCTTCCCGGACGCCCATCCCCGGGTGCCCCTCGCCCCCGCCCTCGGCGCACGGGCGGCAGGGCCGCGGGGTCGGCCCCCTCACTTTCTCCCTCTGCTCCTCGCAGCCGAGGCCGCGGCACCCTCACCCCGCCTCCCTGAGTCACCCGCGGCGGCCGCTGTTTCCAACCAGCCAGCCGACTCCGGCTCTGACTTGGTTCAAGAGCTCTCACAAGACACGCACTGCCTCCCCGGCCCGCCCCCTCGGAGCCGCTGCCGCCGCTGATTGGCTCAGCCCGCGGAGCTGAGCGAGGCTCGTGGGGACAGAGCCGAACGCTATTGGCCCGCGTGGCCAGGGCGGGGCTAGTGGAAAAAACAATTCCTTGGCTGCCTCCTCCCTCTGCCCTCCCCCTTCCGACTCCCGGACGACCCCCATTAGGTTAAAGTACACACAACGTAAGCGAGAGATCCCTCCGCCACAGCCATTCTTCTCAGTGGTTGCCTCTCGGAACGCAAAAAAGTCCAGCGAAATCGGTTATCAACTTTAGGGCCCAGAGAGGAACATTGCAGTGGTGCACAGAAAAGACCGAATGGCGGACCCGGGCTATAAGCGCCTATTGTATGTGCTCCTCAAGTGCACAGGCTGTCGACCAAAGGTGGGCTTTCTACTTGGCGGAGGAATCTCACAGGAAAGGGGTGAAGGCGGCGCAGAGCCCGTGGGGGAGGAAAGAGACGGAACGTGCGATTTCAGGCGTACTCAACTGGAGGGTGGAGCGACAGTGCTCTGGGGGCTCCTGCGCAGGCGCCTCGCGCAGCGGAGGCCGGAGCTGGGCGAAATGGCCGCCGGAGGCGCAGGCGCACGTGGTGCGGATCGTGGAATGTCTAGAGTCCGCCATTTTGAAAGAAACATGAAGAAAGGCCTGGAGTCCCTGGGAAATGACCTTCCTTAAATCTAGAGCAAAGGAAGCCATTCAGTACCATGCAGAATGGGATTTTTTTTTTTTAATGTAAAGGAAGAATGGAAAGATATCCTGAGACTTATAAATTGAAAGACTAGATTAAGACCGTAAATTATGAAGAGGCTGTGACTTTGAAGGACAGAGGAGGTGAGATGTGATTGTGTGATTTGGAAGTTGAGTTTTTTGGTTGAATGAAGAAGAAATAAAATGAAGGACTTGAAGATCTCTTCCTTTATAAAGGCTGGTACTTGACATGGCATCCTATTTAATCCTTAAACTAATGAGTGAAGAACTTAAGAAGTGTGAAAACTGAGAGTCAGAAAAATTTCAGAAGTGTATTTGAGATTATAGATGCAAGTTAACTCCAGGTATTGCTTTTAAACATATAAGTTCAGAATGGTTTATATTAGTTTTTTAACGAAGAACAAACACTGAAGAATTAAATTGGATTTATAATTTGCAGACCATTGGAAAGGAAGGTAGGAAGCAAAGACAACCTATCCAGTCCAACACAAGTAGAAAAATGGAAACAAGAAAAGGAAAATAGAAGTATGGTAAATAGAAGAAAATAAAATTAAAGGAGTAAGTCCAAACATTATTTACAATAAATATAAATTGGTTAATTTTACTTATAAGTTAAAAGACAATGGATTTTTAAAAAATCAGCTACAAATTAACTCCAAGCAAACTCCAACAGCACAGAAAACTTGAAAATTTTGGGCTAAAATATTTTCTAATCAAATGGTAATGGAAGGAAAGCAATACAATGGGGCCTTGACTTACGAGTGTCCCGACTAACGAGTTTTTTGAGATACGAGCCATCTATCGGCCGATTTTTTGCTTTGAGTTGCAAGCTAAAATTTGGGTTACGAGCCAGCTTCAGATACCCCACCGCTAGTTGGTGCAGCGAACGTCACAGTGAACGCCATAACATCAGCCCAGCATCACGTGTCTCACTCGTTCACTTTTTGATTTGACATACGAGTAATTTGAGTTACGAGCTCCTTCACTGAACGAATTAAACTCGTAAGTCAAGGCCCCACTGTATAGTGATACTAACATAATTGAAAACAAAAGCATCAAAAGAGAAAATAATTTGTGTTAAGAAAGGAAAAAGTCCATGAAGATAACTCTTGAACTATTAGCACCCTGAAAACATAGCCTAGCCTAAGCTAAGGCTAAACTATTACAACTATGAGGAAATTTTGACAATATGTAGTCAGAGTAGAAAATATAAATATATCTATCCCAGAAATAGGCACATCAGATAGGTTTTTAAAATAAAGAGTATGGAGACCTTAGATTATATAATTATTCATTTGAAAAAAAGTCACTAGGGACAAGTTCTACCAAACTTCACAGAACATATAATTCCTATATTATATTCATGGTTTCAGAATTTAGGAAAGTTGTGAAGAGATCCAATGCATTTTATGAAACTTGCAAAACTCTGTTACCAAATCTGAACTAGGAAAATACAAAAAAGGACAACTATATTTCAATGACTCTTAGGAATTAAGATGGCAAATTCTTATATAAAATATCAGCAAATTAAACTTAGCAGTATATTTTTAAAACAATCACCATGATTAATTAGGATTATCATATGAATACAGGGATACTTTCTTCCAGATTAGAAAATTACTATAATTTACCACAACAGCTTAAAATAGAAAAATATTAACATTTAGTAGAAGCTATTGAGCATTGAGCTACCGAGGAAATGTGCCCTCAGCCAGAAACAAACTTGGGACTCTTTAGTCCGAGGGCCAACCCTCAATCCACTGAGCCAAACTAGCTAAGGCCATATGTTACTTTTGAAATTTAAAGTTAATATTAAAATCCTATGAATGTAATAAACTACACTAACACTCAAGAACATTCAAAACAATTTATTAGAACTAATACAAGAGCCAAGAAAGTGGTACAATAAAAGATCAACAAACCAAAGTCAAAAGAATTCCTATCCCATAACTTCAATTAGAGCACCTAATAGTTAAATGTTAAAAATATGGAAGCACAATAGAAAAAAGGAACCATTTATGATCATAAAACTACAGAAACTACCAAAGGAAAAAAACCATAAAATAAAATGTATATGAAAAATACTATAAGACTTTACTGACAGGCATAAAACAAAATTTTAAAATTCTGTCTCCTTATAAAAGATATAATTTATTTTCAAATTAAACTACAATTCCAATGAGTGAAAAAAATCAAAATATAAGTATATAAATAGTTAAGAGAATACAGGATCATGTATATATAAAATAAGTTTATGATTAACACACCATTTGAATAATAAGCTATTCAATATATACTATGGGGTCTATTGGTTATCTATTAGGGAAAAAATAACAAAGTCAGATCCCAACATCAACATTCACAATAATAAGTTATGGGTGGATCAAAGAACTAAATATAAAATATCTGGTAAAATATTTTAAGTTTCCTTTCCTCTGTCCTTCCTCTTTTGCTTTCCTTCCTCTTCCTGAGCATTTCAGTCCTAAAGCCATTAGGATTACAGAGCAAAATAGGTTTTCATCAGGAGATGCTGCCTGGCATGAAATGTTTGAGCTCAAAAAAGGAGTAGTAGCCTGGCATGGAGAGTCAGAGTCCAAGTGGGGTGAGAAGAATAGACACACAGAAGGTCAACCCAGCACTGGATATCTAGAGCCCAAGTGAGGTAAGAAGGGCATCTGTGAATGGCGACGGCCTACTGTGGTATGGTAGAGATGGGCCAGAGTGAAGACACTGCCCACATGGGAGGTGTGGGAGGAAGCCTGGCATGGGGCATATGAGCTTGAGGAGTTTGAGGAGAGTATTCATGCAGGGACCAGCAGAGGACACTGAAAAGACCAAGATAGATCTTAGAAGGAGAATTAGGAGAGAGGTGCATCCTAGAAACAAAGCAGGAGAGAATTTCAATTTAGAGAACCATACAGAGAGGTCAAAGGATACACTGAGGTCAAGGCAGATAGAGGACTGAGCAGCAGGATATTGACTCTTCCAACAAATACAGTGGGGCCTTGACTTACGAGTTTAATTCGTTCAGACCGACCTCGTTAAGGAGCTTGTTAAGGAGCTCGTTAACTCAAATTACTCTGTCAACTCAATGCAAAAAATCAGCCCAGAGACAGCTGGTATCTCAAAAAACTCGTTAGTCGGGACACTCGTAAGTCAAGGCCCCACTGTATATGTTAGCCTGGAGGTATTACCAGAACTCATTTCTACTGGATAGTAAATACTGTTATCCAAGCTCCCCATGCACATTCCAGTCAAAATCCTGCCACTAACTGAGTTTCCTTTTATCCCATGGGACCGTGGAAGTTTCCAAAGTCTTTAAGAAAGTTAGCAACGAGAGATTTGGAATAATTTTGGACCTTTGATTCCTCAACTGCAAAACAATTCAAATACAATATTTTCTGTCTAAATCTGCTTCCCTTAAATAGCACAAAATGGTGTTTGGTGTGAAAACTTAAATGTCTTATGCTATTTCTGTTAATGCTGTGCACCTGTGACAATGAAGCAAGCTGAGCATCGGCTTCTTGCTTCTTTTTCTTTATACACTTTTTCTGTTAAAAGTAATTAACATCCAGAGAAAAGCACAGATCTTAAGTGAACAGTTTCATCAGTTTTATAAGAACGTACATCCCCAAAATCCACATCCATAAAAAGACATAGAACAGGGCCTTAGCCAGGTTGGCTCAGTGGATAGAGCGTCAGTCCATGGACTGAAGGGTCCCGGGTTTGATTCTGGTCAAGGGCACAGACCTCAGTTGCAGGCTTGATCCCTGGCCCTGGTCAGGGCAACCAATCGATGTGACTCTCGCACATGAATGTTTCTCTCTCTCTGTCTCTCCCCCACCCCTCCACTCTCTCTAAAAATCAATGGAAAAACATCTGCAGGTGAGGACAAACAAAAAAAAGATATAGAACAGGGGTCAGCCATAGCCCACAGGCCAAATATGGCCCAGCACCTAATTCTCTACAGACTATGAAGGATGGTTTTTACATTTTTAATGTTTGAAAAGAAACCCAGAAGAAGAATATTTTGTGACTATAAAAATTCTACAAAATTCAAATTTCAGTGCCTATAAATAAAATTAGAACATAGCTACACCCATTTGTTTATGTTTTATCTCTGGATAATTTCATATTACAATGGTAAAGTTGAGTAGTTATAACAGGGATAGTATGTCCCTCAAAGCCTAAAGTATTTACTCTCCATCCCCTTACAGAAAAGGTTCACCAAACCCTGATAGAGAACCTTCCATCATGCCTGAATGTTCCTGCTTCTTTCTAGTCAATACCATTGCCCACAGCAATCTTTTTTTCCATTTCTATCACCATAAATTGGCTTTGCCTATTCTTGCATTTTATTTGAACGACATAATACAGGTTTTACTCTTTTGTATTTAGTTTCCTTTACTCAGCATGTTTTCAAGATTATATCATTAAGATGTTTATTCCCTTTCATTGCTAGGTAGTATTCCATTGCCTAAATGTACCATAGTTTGTATATCCATGCTCTGTTGATGGATACCTGAACTGTTTTTCAGTTCTTGACTATTATGAATAATATAATTATGAATATATTTGAATTTGTCTACTATCTTAGTGTTTGTTTGTCTTATCTGTTCTGTCTTTTTAAAAAAATATATTTTATTGATTTTTTACAGAGAGGAAGGGAGAAGGATAGAGAGTTAGAAACATCGATGAGATAGAAACATCAATCAGCTGTCTCCTGCACACACCCCACTGGGGATGTGCCTGCAACTAAGGTACATGTCCTTGACTGGAATCAAACCTGGGACCCTTGAGTCCGCAGGCAGACACTCTATCCACTGAGCCAAACCAGTTAGGGCTGTTCTGTCTTTATATTTTTATTTATTTATTTATTTTTTTAAATATATTTTATTGATTTTTTACAGAGAGGAAGGGAGAGAGATAGTTAGAAACATCGACGAGAGAGAAACATCGATCAGCTGCCTCCTGCACATCTCCTACTGGGGATGTGCCCGCAATCCAGGTACATGCCCCTGACCGGAATCGAACCTGGGACCTTTCAGTCCCCAGGCCGACGCTCTATCCACTGAGCCAAACCGGTTTCGGCCTGTCTTTATATTTTTAACACTTTAACTCTTTTGCTAGTTTTCATTCCTTTCTATAAAGCCAGATTTCTATACAATTTAATTTCCCTTCAGCTTATTGAACTTTTAAAAGTGGATTAACAATTTACTCAGTAATTAGATGGCATAAACACCAATAAAAATAATAACTTGATAATGCTAAATGAGCAATTCTGCCCATTGATAACACTAAGCCAAGACTTTGATATTTGTATTACAGTTGTAATACAAATAAATGATACAATTATATATATATGGCTAATATGCGAAGTGTCTCCTTGGGAGTTCGACTGGGAGACTGGGAGTTCGATTGCTTGCTATGACATGTGCCCTGATTGCTGGCCAGGCCTAGGGACCCTACCCGTGCACGAATTTCATGCACTGGGCCTCTAGTACAAGAATAAACACTGTTTCACATATAAGTGTAAACCTACTTTTGCCAACCCCTATATATTCTACTCATATGCACTACATGTGTCATGTATGTGATTTGATCAACAAAAAGAAAATGTGTACACAATGTCAAGCTGCTTTATTTTTTGTTTTTAAGAGCAGCCCAATGATTTGGGGAGGTAATTATACAATACAGAGAAAAATAGGGGAAAAATATAAAATGGCACCTAGCACCAATGTCAGGACTCATCTCATTATGCTTTTAACTAAGGATATCGTTAATTTTTGTGTTATTCACTTTGCTTTAGACTCACACAGTGGTTCTCAACCTTCCTAATGCTGTGACCCTTTAATACAGTTCCTCATGTTGTGGTGACCCCCAACCATAAAATTATTTTCGTTGCTACTTCATAACTGTAATTTTGCTACTGTTATGACTCGTAATGTAAATATCTGATATGCAGGATGTATTTTCAGGGGTCGCGACCCATAGGTTGAGAACCGCTGCGAGCATACATTAAGCCATCAATTTAACTTGAGATATATGCACAATACACATACAATTGTATGAAAAAGAACACTTTTCATAAGTAACATTACATTTTTAAATATTGGAAACTGAATATCAGATGCTGATTTCTATTTTGACTTAATGGAACCAGAGCATTCAACTAGTGATAGTTATACTGATGATAAAGCTCTTAAATACATATGTGTTCCTCTCTCTTTGTGCTTACACAGGCTACACAATGTCCTGAGAGAATTCATTATGAGAAAAATGTCAATCACAGCTGTAAGACCTTACTGTGGAAGAAATGAATGAGAAAGCAAATTGGAAGGCAAGACTTCATTTTTGTTTTTAAGTGAGTTATATTAATTTTTCTTATTCAAAAGTTCAATTCAGTTTATTATAAATTTATCTAAACCATTAATTTTCACAGCTTTCCAGTAGAGTTCAGCATGTCTTTTATACCAATTAATTTCTTTTAGTAAATCTTGCAATCAGGTCTGCTGGGGATAAATTCTTTCTGTTTTCACCTGTATAAAGTCTCAGTTTTACCTTCACTTTTAAAGGATACTTTTGCTACATATAGAATTATAGATTGGCAGGGATTTTTTCCCCTTCACCTTTAAAGGTGCTAGCACATTATCTTTTGGTCTCTATTATTCCTGGTAATAAGTCAGACATTATCTTTATCATTGTTCTCCTATATGTAATGTATCTTAGTACTTCTTTGAAAATATTTTCTTTACCTTTAGTAGTTAGCAATTTGACTCTGCCCAGGTGTGATTTTCTTTGTGGTTAACCCAGTGGTCGGCAAACTGCGGCTCAAAAGCCACATGCAGCTCTTTGGTCCCTTGAGTGTGGCTCTTCCACAAAATACCACGTGTGGGCACGCACATATAGTGCAATTGAAACTTCGTGGCCCATGTGCAGAAGTCGGTTTTCGGAAAGGAGATAGACGAAACAAGTATACAAGACGAGTGTGGATGGGAGAGTTGGAAGGGGTCGACCTCAGTGAACGTACCTCAATCAGATTGAGGACGTTTTTAGCAAAGGCCAGCTTAGGAGTACCCTAATTAAGTTAATAACAATGTACCTACCTATATAGTTTAAGTTTAAAAAATTTGGCTCTCAAAAGAAATTTCAATCATTGTACTGTTGATATTTGGCTCTGTTGACTAATGAGTTTGCTGACCACTGGGTTAACCTATTGTAGGATTACTGAGCTTCTTAGGTCTGTAGGCTAATGTCATTAATTTTAGAAAACTTCTCAGCTATTATCTGTTCAAATGTTTTCTGCTCCATTTAATCTATCTTCTCCTTATGGGACTCCATTCACACATGTATGAAACTGTTCATTATTGTTCTACAAAACTCAGATACTTTGTCCTTTTTTATTTTTACTAATTTTCCTATTTTTATTTTGGTTATGGTAATTTCTAATGACTTGTCTGATGCTTGTGTCTGACTTGCCCTTTAAAATAATTCTTTGTCTCATCTATATGTTTTTAATTTCTAGCATTGGCTCCTTTTTATAGTTTTATTCTCTCCAGGGAAATTTCTTGTCTGTTAACATACATTGTCCACTTTTTCCATGAAATATTTTACATATTTATTTTACATATTATTTTGATTATGTTAATAAATGGTACAGTTCTGTGTCTTGTTCTACTGCCTGCCTTCTCTCTCTCTCTCTTAATGTTTTTATTGATTTCAGAGAGAGGCAGGGAGAGGGAAAGAGATAGAAACATCAATGATGAGAGAATCACTGACCAGCTGCCTCCTGCATGCCCCCTACTGGGGATTGAGCCCAACCAAGGCATGTGCCCTGACCCGAAATTGAACCGGTGACATCCTGGTTCACAGGTAGATACTCAACCATTGAGCCATACTGGCAAGGCATGCCTGCTTTTTCTCTTGACAATGGATTTAATTTTCTTGCTTTAAAAAAATCTGTTTTTCTAAACTCGATTTTATTTATTTTCAATCTTCATTTTCTTTCTTCTGCTAGCTTTGGATTTAGTTTGTTCCCCTTTCCTTGTTTCTTAAGGTGTATAGTTAAGTTATTAATTTGGGATCTTTTCTTTTTCTCTGAGCACTGTTTTTGCTGCATCCCATAAATTTTGGTATGTTGTGTTTTGTTTACATTTGTTTCAAGATTATTTTCTAATTTCTCCTGTGATTTCTCCTTTGATCCATTGATTATCTGAGTGTTGTTTAATTTACTCGTACACTTTTTGAATTGTCCCATTCTCCTTCTGTTAATGATTTATAGTTTTATTCTATTGTGATCAACCAAGACACTTGGTATGGTTTCAATCTTTTAAAATTTATTGAGACTTGTTTTGTGGCTGCTGCTGATCTAGGGGATGGGGGATGGTAGGTGGGTTAAAATGCCACAATGCTCTATTACAAAAATTTAACAGCCTTTTCAGTTAGCATTCCCCAGCTTATTATAAATTTTTATTATGTTTTGAAGTTCTGTAAAAGTTGATTCAGTTTTTGCCAACTTAATCATTTGAAGGAGGAACAGAGTTTTAAACTTCCCAACTCTGCCATTTTCAGTCTTTTGTGATGCTTTTATTTTAATGCATTTTACTTTTACATTTGTCATAAAACCAAAAAATACATTTTCATTATTTTGGTTTAAAGTCAATTATCTAGTAAAAAGATTAAGATGATAAGAAAGAAGTCTTATATGTTTACTCATGTAGTTACCATTTCTGGGGTTTTCAGTTCCTTGTTTCCATCCGGTATCACTTTCTTTCTTCTGCCTATAGGGATTCCTTTAGTGTGAGTATGCTGGTGAATTTACGCAATTTGACTATAATGTGTCTTAAGATAGTTTTCTTCTTGTTCTTATTCTAGAAATTGTTGAGTTTCTTGAATCTGCAGGCTTATAATTTCAAATAACTTGAAAAAACTTTAGCTATTACCTCAAATATATATATTTTTTACTTTTTATTGGTTTTATTTTAGAGAGAGAAACATCAATGTGTGAAAGATCAGTTGTCTACCACATGAACACTAACCTGGGATGGAACCTGGGTATGTGCCCTGACCAGGACTCAAACCCATGACCTTTCAGTGTATGGGATGATGCTCCAACCAGCTAAGCTACCCCAACCGAGCTACTTCAAATATTTTTGTGTTTTCTTCTATCTTCTCTCATTCTGATACTCTAATTGCACATGTACTAGGCTACCTGATGTTACATTTATCCAGAACTTTTTCTTTGTGTATCTCTTTCCCCTCTGGTACTCTGCCTTGTGATCTCTAGCTTCCATGACCTCCCAGTCTCCCAACTCTATCTGTTCAACTCAGGGAGACCTCCAGGCTCTGCCTGGGTTCCTGCTCTCTGCACCATACCCTGAAAACTCTCAAGAAAGTAAGCTAGGGGCCTGGCTGGAGTGCCTCAGTTGGTTGGGCGTTGTGCTGTGCATTGAATGGTTGCCAGTTTGATTCCTGGTCAGGCATATACCTGGGCTTCAGGTCCTATCCTCCCTGGTCTGGGTGGGTATGGAGGGCAACTGATTGGTGTTTCTCTTCTCCTTTCCCTTCCCCTTCCCCTTCTTCTCCCCCCCCCCCCACACCCCTCCCTACCATTCCTCTCTGAAAGCATGTCCTTGGGTTAAGATAAAACCCCAGTAGGGGGTATGCAGGAGGCAGCCTATCAATGATCTCTCTCATCATTGATGTTTCTATCTATCTCTCCCTCTCCCTTCCTCACTAAAATCAACAAAAATATATTTTAAGAAAAGAAAAAGAAACTTTGAAAGTAAGCTGGGGCAATTGTAGGGCTCATGGTTCCCCTCTCTGGGTGATCAAGCCCTGTACCACCTAATGTTATATGTCTATGACACATTGACTCATATATTTTGTCTGCTTTAAAATTTGTTTCAGGCAGGGGGTAAGTCTGATCCCTAATACTCCATCTTTCCAGAAGCAGAATTTCACCAAAGGTACAATTCAGATCAGTAGAGGAAAAGATGAATTATTCAATAAATGGTATCAGCTCATGTATTAATCAGGGTTCTAATTTGCAATTATAGAATCTGATTAAGATAGTTTTAACAGAAATGTATTAATCAATATTAAGTAGATTAAGATTTCTAGAAGGGTCAGATTTAGGCTTTGAGATGAAGCATTTAGAAACTAAATCAGCCTGTCCAATCACTCAAAAAATGATGGCACCATTCTGGTGCTGGCACCACTCTTTAAGTTATAGATGTGCATAGCTGCTGCTGGACTCTCCACATGTCTCTGCTGTGCCGCATCAACCTCTTCAGGAACTACATTTGGACAGGATCTGTCTCCTCAGGATGTTTTTTTCCAAATCAAAACCTCACTTGTTGGAGGGCTTGCCTGGTTGATGAAGCCACAAGATAAGGGAGGAATTGAATTTTGGCTCATAGCTTGAGGAGGTAGGGTACACAACATGAAAGTATTCCCCAAATAGAGAAATGAGATTCAGATGACACTAGGTTGCCGCAAATAAGATAAATTTTCCCACTGCAAAAACTGGACAGTCATCTGAAATATTCTTTTTCAGAATATTTGGATTCCTACTTCTCACCTCACACCAGGTCAAAGATTTAATCAGGAAAAAAATAAAACTGTAAAGGTACTAAAAGAAAACTAAGAACAATTTTAAAATACTTCTTTTTTTGCATCTCTGACTTCTAATCAAGTATCTAAGAGCTTACAGATCTAAAATAAACAACATTAAAACAGGCAGGGGGTAAGTCTGGTCCCTAATACTCCATCTTTCCAGAAACAGAATTTCACCAAATGAAATGCTAATAACCTATAAACATAAATCCAACTCATTGGCTCTGCCTTGGGTGCAGGCTGTACTAGTTGGATCTATCTGGAGGTGTTTCAGAGTCTACAAAGCTTTCCCATTTATATGACAAAATATGCACAACTAATCAGCTGTGCTTCTGGTCCTACCCCCTAAGGTCTCTACTGTTGTCATGAGGTACATCTCCTAAGAGCCCCTTTCACCTCTAAAGGGGTGACAGTGTTGCTGGAGGTTCTTACGGTAATTGCTTTGATGGAACAACAGACACAGGACAGTACAGTGGAAAGGAAAAGGTCTTTGACCATGAGCTCTGATTAGTGCCTGGTTCCATCACTTACTGAATGATTGGGCACTTCATGGGGCACATAATCTTTATGGGGCTCAGTTTCCTCACAGATGATATGGCTTCAGTAATACCTACAACACAGGTTGTTCATGAGGGCAAGATAAAATAATGTATAATATATATAATTATATATTTCATGAAATCCAAATATTCAAATATATGTTATTTCATGAAATAAGAGATGTTTAGTTATGCATACTATCTCACC